AGACGGGTCATGGGTTAGGGTTATGGTAGGACAAATGTTGCATTGCAAAGTAGTAACACATAATATATATTTTTTAATCATACATGGTTGAATCATATTCACCAGGGTAAAACATCATGAGCTAGATTAAACAGATTGACCTAATATCTAACTTTACCTGCAACACACACCTGTTTCATTGACTTTCATTGCTGTTAACTTTTCAATCCACACTGGGAGGGGGGGGTGGTCAGAAAAGTTTCTACTTTTATGAGGGGGGAGGCACAAAAAGTTTACCTTCAGCCTGGAGGGGGGGGGGTCAAAAAAGTTTTCAATCCTTATTTTCCCCATTTCCCAACCCCCCTTCCCATAAATAATGACCACTCCCTTATTTCAAACTCAAAGTTTAGTTCGATAAAGCCTTTAAAGGCGGTTTTATGGTTTTATATAAAACGTCTTGTGAAGCTTTTGAGATTGAATTTTACATTAATTGAAACTTATATTACGTATAATAACATGTTTAACATATATATGTTTGGGGAATTGAAAATTTTGTAATTAAAAGTGATATTTTTAGGGGATTTTTCATTTGTAAAAAAAATCTTAAAAAATTATCGTGTTACCATGACAACTACTTTAAATACTTCATGTTCGGAAAATACAATGGTTTTGTCAGCAAGGCGAGGGGTTTCTGCATATATGTATTTTCTAGTATAGTATAGCATAAGAAGTTGAAAACATTGGCTTTATGTTTGGGAAGAGTTCTACTGAACCAAATTTTAAGTTTCACTTGTTACGTCTTGAAATACAGGTGTGGTATAAAAGACGTGAAAATCTGTGACTTGCCGTTGTAAACAGAGCGACGACAACGTCTGAAACTCCCCTGGGACTTTAATTATTTATTTCTTTTCATTGACTCATTGTATTGGTTGCCGTCGTCGTCGTGTTGTCGTCCTACATGCTTAAGCTTCCTAATTACAGTAGTTAACCTGCACCGAAGAACGAGAACGAAAGAATATTCAAGTATGTAAACTGATTTTATTGAAATGGCAAAAGCTGATTGTTTGCATATTTAATCATGTACGGATGGACCAAAGTGAACTAACGAGTGAACGAGTTAGTATGAGCCGAACTATGGGAGATACGTTACAACCCATACGTTACAACCTACCAGTGGCGGGAATCTTGGTGGGGCGCCCCCCCCCCTTCACGGAAAATGACGAAATTTTGAACTAAAAGAGGGCTAAAAACAGCCTTTTCGAGTGCAAATGGGGGTGGTTGTCGGAAATTTGAAAGTTTTGTCGTAAATTGAGGAGGCTTTGCACATCCCCCTTAAAAAGTGAATTTCCGCCACTGCAACCTACTGACAAAACGAGCATGTCTTGTTACGCTTTGTCAAGTTAAACACAAATTTCTTGCGAGTTTTTCTGTCATCATTTATAGGCTAACCTCTATGACATTTGTAATACTACTGCATATCATCATTATTAATCATCGTTGGTCGTCTATGACTACGGTCATGCATAAGCAGCTACGCCAATTAAACATGTTTAACAATGTATTTCTATGTGCGTGCCAAATATTCATACATTCTGCTGCTTTTGGCTTTCAATGTGCTAAACAACTATTGAACACATCATAAACTAGAAAATACATGCATGCAGAAACCCTCGCCATGCTGACAAAACCATTGTATTTTCCGAACATGAAGTATCTAAAGTTGTTGTCATGGTAACACGATAATTTTTTAAGAATATTCTTACAAATAAAAAATCGCCTAAAAATATCACTTTTAATTACAAAATTGTCAGTTTCCCAACGTATATATATGTTAGGTATGATATTATACGTAATATAAGCTTTAATTTAAAGTAAAATTCAACCACAAACGCTTCGCAAAACGTTTTAAAGTGTTCCTCATAAAAGTAAACTGCCTTTAATGAAATGGCTTTATCGATAAACGTTAAGTTTGCAATAAAATGATTTCAAATTCTCGCATGCAAATAACTTTGCTTTCTTTCTTATTTAAAGGACATTGGCAACCAAAATTTTTATTACTTATATCTATTAGGTATACTTACGGAATATTTAATTTCATATTTTGGCTGGTTTGTCGCGTTTAGTTGCTGAGAAAATTTGATTGAATTTGAGAAAATTTGAACAGTTGTCCGCCATTTTGAAAATAAGCGCGTATGCTAATTTATGCCACAAAACATATTATCTGACGTCATTGCTGGGTAAACACAATCTCATGACTATAAACAATACCGTGTATTACCACGCGTAGTGTATTTTGAGCCAAAACAAAAGGCAGAAAAGATTTACCAAGTATGTAACTTGTTTGTAACACTATTTCTCATAGTATATATCGTACTCCGTGTTAAATAAGCGCAGAAATTTGAGTGTAACAAGGCAAATACTAATGCAATATTTTATGATCAATTACCTGCATTGTAAATTTCGCCATTTCTTGCTTTCCCAGTCGCTCGATATGTTTTTATCTGATAGTGTAGACTTCTCTTGTTTGATTGCGAAGAGTGTTGGCCAGTATAACGCTCAAAACGACATATTTTTAGCTAACATAACACGCACGCAATAGAATTATCTCTTGTACTTTTGGTGCTACCCAGCCAATGACGTCACAAAGTTCATTGACCTTCGAGATAATTTTTCAAAAATATTTTCCAAGATGGCGGCAAAACTGGCCGAAACACAAAGTTCGAATGCATTTTACTCGTAGACTAAAATGTTCAAGAAGGAAATGATAATATTTTCATAGTTCGGTTGTCAAGTAGGATTGAAATAGCCAATGTCCTTGAAAAAATTCAATATAATAAAAAAGGGAATCTGTATTAAAGATACACTGAAATTATATGCTGTCTTGTTTAATAGTTGTTTCATATACGCAAAGGCCGTCGGGTTTTAAATCAGTGTCTGCTATTCATGACAGTCCGCCATATTTTTGAGATCAGTGAGGATGACCACCCACCGAACCACTCACGGTAACCCACGCCCGCGCTCATTGATGAAATTTAGACTTGGCTAATGCTTTCGTTTCCCCGGGTGTAAATAGCCGGGGGGATTAGTACCATCGCACGGCGCTTTGCGCCGTCGGCTCGGGGATCAAAATGTTATCTCATTCTACGCAGGGTGTATCAAAAAACTTGCAAACACTATAATTTGCACAATTCTGCTGCTTACTAGCATTTCAATATCTGTGTTACTTGTTTTGCTCCTGCAGGCTGCTCCATTTACTGTTCTCGAACATTTGGAACACTGTTCTGAAACGATATGAAATAGAGTGCACACGGTGCTGTGGAACAGTGTTTAGTTTATTATATATGCGTGCAACCATGCATTACTATATTCATTAGTTATTCGCGTAACTGATAAATCGTATAATGATTTGCTGTTATTTGTAGATCTAAAGGCTAATTTCCACTTCGGAAAATTATCCGTGGATTGGAACGGGCAAGAAAATTCTTCTTTGTCTTGTGAGCTCTGGGTTGGAACTAATGTCTTTAACACAAAGAAAATTTTCTTGTCCGTTCCAATCCACGGATAATTTTCCTGAGTGGAAATTAGCCTTTAGTATGCTTTTGCAACGTTTTTATTCGTTGATTTTGCCAAACCCTGGCGTTCATAAATAGCATATAATAAGTATATGTCGACATATAGCGGTTAATTCTTCAAAATAACACGTTAGTCCTTATGCAGTGTGCATTGGATACATAAAATGTGTCGCTTCCATTTCCAATCACGTGAAAATGGGCAGTGTCACGTGTCTGTTCTGGCTGCCCCTACTCGAAAATCGGGGTAGTCAGGACAGTTCAGAACAATCATGTGACTGTCTTCTGTTCCATTCATTAGTGTTCCGAAAATCCGAAGTACTCCGAACAGTAAATGGAGCAGCTTGCTGGGATTTGAAAATATACATTCTATTGATTGAAATAACACAAAGTTATTATTTTGTAATGCAGAAAACTATTAATTATCAGTTCGACTGCAAATGGTCAACTATTGTGTTTAAGCACGCTTGGGATCAATTAGTTCTGAATCATGCATTCATGCAAATTCTAAAAACATTGTATACAGCGTGTCCCAAAAAACTATTGAAATTAATTTTTTTTTAAATTGAATGCCCGACAAAAAAGCTGAACGTAATGATGCGTAAAATATTGACAAGGTGCATGTATTAACATTTAGTTAAGAACATTTCCTGTAAAGTGCGCGATTTTCTACTCTTGGGAATTTAAAGCAGCTTCTTAAATAGTTTCTGTATGCATAAAATTTACTTATGTCAATCATTTATGCACTCGTGGGAACCAATAGAGTGCTTAGGCATTCAAATTCTAACAATTAAATTGTTATTGGCGATTTCAATAGTTTTCATTTTTTTGGGACACCCTGTATTTTAAAGGGTTTGCAGGTTTTTTGATACACCCTGTGCGTATTAAAATTAAAGGGGAAAAATCAAACGAAGCAAAGGAAAAGCTAATCTCAATCGTTAAAAATAGGAAGGAATCAAAAGCGAACTCAAGTCCGCCTGAATATGACGGTGATTTGCATACGTTTGATCTTATAAATCCCCTGGGTCTGGATGTAGAAAGCACTCAGTCAAGGGATTCTACACAAGATGATTTCAGAATTAAAATGGAGTAGTTTGTGGCAACAACAACGGCAACATTCGATGCTTTATCATCGGCAGTTAATAATCTCAAACAAGACAAACTACTTGATGTATATGTTGCGGCCCTGCAGGATCAAATCAAAATGCGTGAATTATATAGTATAGACTATAGTTATCAAGTTTTATTTCAGAATCCTTAATCGTGTCATCAAGTCGTGTTTCAGTATTGTGATGGTGGGGAAAATTCACACGAATCAGTCAGTCAGTCAGTCAGTTTAAAGCTTTATTTCCTCCAATTTCTGGAGAGTATTTTTACAGAATAAAAAAAGAATTAATTACAAAATTAATTTAAATTACTTAATTAGTTAATTAGAATAATTTCAGTTTCTAGTTATATTGAAATAACGGTTCTATTAAAGCAATATGAAATATAGTTTGCCGATTTTAGCAAAAATGCTTTTCTCTGTTCGTTGTCTAAGCCCAATGTCTCTCTATTTTGTCCTAATATAGTCAATATAAAATCTGAGTCAGATAAGGCTACTAAATTTACTGTTGGTTCAATTTCACAATTATCCACTATCCAATTCCACAGGTTTTCCCTCTCATTGTGTGAGGCTAAACAGTACAACAAGGCGTGATTTACAGGGTTAACATAACTTTTTTGACATATTTCGCAAAAGTCTGTGTATACAACTGGGTTACAAACACGTTTCCCCCTGATCTTATATGATCCACATAGCAGTCTTATGACATTTGTTATTTCAAGAAGGTTCTTGGGATACTCTCTTGCAAGAAGCCACCATTCAGAAATTTCGTTGTTAGTATTGACCTGTGAATAGAGATATAACTGTTTGTTTCTTTTAATTCTCTCTTGCCAAACGTAATTGTATTTTTCATATACACGCAGGTTAACAATTTTCTTCCAATTCTTCTTCGTCGGAAAACAGTTTGTCGAGACAAATTCCATCAAATAATCCAAAAGGTCATATTTTGTCAAAACACACACTATGTCCGGTACAAAGCCGGTCATGTTGTTTCTATGGTTCCATTTCCAACGAGCCAATCTGATCAACAAAACACGTCGGCATAGCACACCAGCACTGATATTTATCAGCCTTCCCAGGAAATAAAGTTTACGCCTATCAATTTCGGCTTCGATTGATAACATTCCCAAGAGTCCCCTTGCCGCCGAGCCAGATGTGCCAGGGAGAAGGCCCTGCATAATACGAAGCATAATATTTTGGACCCGTTCCAACTCAATAAGATCGTTTTTACTCAACTTCCAAAGTTCGGATCCGTAAAGAAATTTAGGAATGCCAATCCTCTTCCAAAGATAGGATGCAATGATGGGATTCAATCCACCATACCGAGATCCAAGACTCATTAGGAAGAAACATACCTCCCTTCCTCTACCAACTGCGCCTAAAACAGCTGCTGAAGAATGCTTGTTTATATCCCAGATTTTTCCCAAATTTGACCATGTATCCTTTTCACTTATATCCAGTGAGCCAAGTTTCCATTTTCTAATAGCACAATTTGTACCGTGCTCTTCCTGCTTCTCACCATAAGTTAGAACAACAGTTTTCTTAATATTAAACGTGAATTGCCATTTGTTACTATATTCCCACGTAGTCTGTAACATTTTGTCCAGCCCTGATTTCTTTCGCGAAAGCATTGTCAAGTCGTCTGCAAACATAGGCGATCCAAGATAAACATTATTCAGAAAAATTCCAGTGTTCGTACACTGCAACTCCTCCATCAGGTCATCAATAGAAACCAGGAAAAGCCATGGCGAGAGAACACCCCCTTGCCTTGTTCCTTGTTGAATAGTGTATGTTCGAGAACTTTTCCCTTCAATACGCACAAACTCTGCCATATCAGTATACCACTCTCTAATAAGTCGCCAAGCTTTACCACAGATGCCTTTGTTATGATACAATTTAAAAAGCATAGAATTGATCCCCATCGTGTCAAAAGCTTTGCTAATGTCCATGTAAGCAACATAGACTTTTTCCTTTTCTTCCAAACATTGATTAATAACTTCTTCAATCGTGAAACATGTTGTTAAAGCATCTTGCTGCTTTTGATAACCCCCCTGGAGGGGATGATATAGATATTTCGGTTCCTTTAGTAGTCTTGATAAAACAATTCGTTCAAGAATTTTATTTATACTCGGTAGTAAACTTATCCCTCGATGGTCGTCAAATGATCGAGATTTTTTATTTCCTTTTGGGATCGGGATTTTAATTGCCAATTTGAAACAGACAGGAATTTTTTCATACTCAATAATCAAATTAAAAAGTCTCAATAGGGCATCAATAACGACTTTACCTCCGTACTTTATGTGCTCATAACTAATTCCATCGATTCCAGGTGCTTTGCCATTTGGTAAACTCTTCACAGTTGTATCTATTTCTTCAGTGGTTATCGGGGTACTGAATATATAATCATGTTTAAACTCCGAACATTGTAAAATTTCCATAACTCTCTCGTTAATTTCGTCAAATTGTCTATCTTTGGAGGGTGTCGCTAGTTTTT